CAAAGCATAAGTATACAGTGCAAAAATGCATATTAGGAACATTCTGTTAAAAAATCTTATGAACGGCGTTGCACTGTTGGGCGGAAGGAGGCCAGATACATAAAGCATGAAACCCAATGTCATAACCTGTACTTTGTTCACAGAAATTTTGTCTTCTTTATTCAAGTTTTCTCTTGTTTCAGAAGTTCCAATCTCTTTTTCCTTCGGTGTGACCATTTCTCTGTAAAATCTTCAGCAAAACCTGTTAATAGAAATAATTTAATGTTGTTTGATAATTATTTCTTATTTTAGAGTGTACTAAAAATTCTCTAAATATGAATGGACTTTAACAAGTAAGATACATCAAAATGTTGTTTCAAATGATCAGAACTAGTTCTCATCCCCTACGAGAAATTCAAGAAAAAAAAATTAAAAGCTACATTTTAATATTACTCCCTCTTATACGTCTACATCTTGCAAATATTCTTTCCGACCAGAATTGTGCGAGTGTTTCTTTCTCTCATTAGTGAAGACATCACATATGTTCGGTTTTCTATGTTTCCTCAGGGTCCTGTCCCCATATAACATTATTCTGTGGCTTCCTATAAGGCGACATGCCACGTTTCCCACCCATATAAAAAAATACAAATTGTAGGTCTAAATATTATAATCTTTATGTCAATACACGGATTCTGAGAAAGAATTCCTTAATTTGATCTGATGTTAAGTGATGTAAACTGACGAAGAAATAACTACAGCGAATATAACCGTAAAACAGAACACACGCAGATACGAATATCGGTATGTTACCTTACTGCTCTCCGTCTCTCTGTGAATGCGATATTTCTGTAGGCGGGCAGTGGAGTCACACAACTTGTCTCCTCTTCTCCCTTCAAAGGAGTGTCTTACATTCGCTGGGAGAATCATATTCGCTTCTTACGTAACCGCATCTCTGAAACTTTTTGACGTCAAAAGACAGAAGTGAGAATAAATGTTTCAGACAGGAAGGAGCGCGCATAATTACTGAGTTCTAAGACAATTTCTTTTTCACTTTGTCATGTACGTAGCATACATGAGGAAGTACTGTATATGGTAAAAAAGAAGATCGATCCCGAAATATTGACGGATTTACATGTTTCCGGAAGCCCTGAATAAGAGAAAGGGGCGTTTCTGGAACGAGTCTACCTTTCTCAGTGCCTATATGTTTTTGTGGATATGCACCGCGCATGCGCCGAACGGCTGGAAGGAATTTATTCATATTCGGTACTGGAAAATGTGTACGTCATAGGGCTGTGTCCGAAATATGTGAATGAGCTAGCAATTAAAATTGGCCTCACACAACTAAATGTACCTCAGGACATTTATTACGTTTCGGAAATTTATGTAAGCGTGAGAAATGTGGTTTTTCGAATTTAACCGAAGCGCGTAGAAGTAACCCGAATGACTTGAAGTTCCCACTGCGGGAGTTATGGAGCGTTGTCTTCTGGGATGAAATTTAACCGGCAATTCGGGGGAATATGCCGTTTCATTCTCTAGGACGAAATGTACACCAATCGAAAAGTCAACATGAAAAAATATTCGGAAAGCGCTTTATTCTTGCACTATTTACGAATTACTTCAGACATATATAATTTCTTCTTGACAGCAGTTACGTCATATTCTCAGTATACAACATTTTAGGGTTTGCATCATCATTAGAGAGATATATCTGCTTAAGACATGAACATAAAGTTACGTCACATTCTGGGTCTGTAATGTCATAATCAGATAGTTACTAAGTTTAAGTTTGCAGCATCTGATTATAACCAAACAAGCCATACCGGCGATCTCGTTCAGACAAAACATAATTTCCACACAGTCAGATACACAATCTGTGACCTACCCAAAGATAAACTTGAAGAGCAGGATAAGCAAAGTATGTCCAAATGCGTATATGATTTTTTCCTGTGGGATAAGAAATCGAATGGAAGAAGCTATATTTCCTCCTTTAATAAATGAGGAACAGGGCTGTCAAGAAGCCCACACATCACATAGACACATGCAGTATCCTGTAGCACACAAACTGTTCAATGTAGATAAAGGTAATAAATACACGAAGCTGAAGTTCTGGGGCTCTAATTTTGGAAAGTGTACCGCCTTTCTTTGGTTTCGATGAAGAGTTACAGGTTTCCCAAGAAACTCAGAACACACGCACTTTCAAGCGAGACCAGGTTACATTTCATTTCAAGATAATGGGATTATCTGCTGTTATAAAATTTGTGTGTGTGTGTGTGTTGGGAGAATTCGCATTGTTTCAACTTAACGTAAACCAGAAAATGTTCATTGGAGACATTTAGAAACTTAAATTCTGAATTGAATAGCGGCATATATGCTACTCTTGAAGAAATGTATGAAAGGAAGAGAAGAAAGAGTCATCAGGAAGTATTCATGAGAAGCGTCCACCATGTATCACCGAGATCATGTATACTACACGAGTAGGCAGAGCGTAAATATAAACTTCCGAAAGAAACAAAACAAAATTATACGTCTGGGCTTACATTTAAGCAAAAGTAAAAATGTTTCGTACTTAATTAAGAAACGCGTGACGAAATAGTGACGTTAATGCGTGGTATAGGTAAGTCTTGGCGAAGTGACTAACATATATGATGAAAGAAAATATTCGAAGGCAAATTTGAGAATTCTGTTCAGTACTACATGTCGAAGATGTCTCGTGTTAAAATTGTTTCGAAAATCTGTGGGCCGTTATCAACTTTTACGAAGTGACCCCCCAATGTCTAATTTCAGGTCCCCTCATGTTTTGGATATTTACTTTGGCGGGAAGCACCTGTTGACTATTTCTGCACCTATAAATTAACTAGACAACAAATGAACTCCAGTGGGTAGTGACTTCTGCGCTAACCTGTACGTTTCAGATGGGAGAAAAGGGGCATAATTAATAATATATAAGGAACGTCATTAAGCATCAGAATGCAATGAAAGGTGGCGCCCTAATTGGGTGATAAATTCTGCAGTTGAGTTGGCAAGCGCGGTCATCAGTTCGTGCTTGTGTACCTACCGGTATGCACAGACCGCGTGTGCAGACCTGGCTGTTCTTGGTGCGTCTGTCGAGACCACTAACCGACACAAGGAGTTTAGTGAGTTTATTGGTTATAGGAAGATCTTATCAACAGTGAGTCAGCAATATTACATCCAAATGTGTATCTACAACCACTGCCAAGCTAATTCTTGCTATACTCCTCCTCATTCGAAATCCTGGGGCAGGTGTAGAAATGCGGCCTCTCTAATGTACTTTGGTACTACTACGTAAATGTATATTTATCGCAAACGACGTAAAATTGTCTATGCAACATGTATTATTGGTGTCCTTTTTTGTAAAATATATTGTTCTCATTTTATTAGTAGATTTGTTTTTTATTTAAATGCTTCATATTAATTGTGGCGGTTGGAATCATGTCAGATAATAACACGTGGTTTCAAAAGATTAGAGAGTAGATTCAACAAGCTCATTTCGGGCATAATTCTCAATTATCTAAAATAATAGATTTTTTCCAAATGCGCTCAACATTTCTCGAGTTGTTTCGCAAGCACTGACGGTCAGGCAAAGAGATGGGGCGGTTTCAATATGCCACGTGCAGCATTGCGAACGTGCATATACTCGTAAAGCATTCAGATATTTGTCTATTAAGTGTATCACGTGAATAAGTGCGTAGAGTTCACCATCGAAACGTCTAACACAGGATTTTACTTGTCTTCTTGCTTGTTTCACGTGTCCTCACTCTTTCATGTAAAGCAATGTCGAATGATTCGATGCTAAGATAACAAGAAATTGGAATGGACAAAGAGAGGTTTGGTCGTGACATCTTTCACGCAATATTCTCACAACCCCCTGAAAAGACAAAGGAGATCCACGACAGAAACTCAGAGTGCTTAGTGCTCCAGACGGGATACTCTCCGAGCACCTCCTGAGTATCAGGAGGGTTTCCTCTTGAGCCAGGTTTTCCTTTTCTCTTTCAGCATAGATTCAGGAGGAATGTTCTCTTTAGACATTTATTTCTGTTCTTGTATAATGGAACTGTGTTCTGATGGTTTCGCTTCTTGATGTGTCGACAAGTTGCAGAAGAACTGCTAATACTACAATAAACAGAAACACACGNCTCCACCGCTTCGAGACTTTATTAGATTTAAATGCTTGAAGGCAGATACAACATTTCACACAACAGGAATTAAAATATTAACTCTCAATGTGTCTACCTTTGCATAAGTTAATATTTCAGCAGTTAGTAACAACAGCTACTGATTACATTTATATGGCGTTACGCCAAAGCAGTAATAGGTCTACTTCCAAAGCACAAATTTCATTGTTTTCATTCACGCTAATGAGTAAAGATTAACCTCTAGGCAAGTTCTAGGTTAGTACCTCGAATAGATTATGGACACCTATTTTAAATACATTCAAATTTTTCTAAAATCTTACGACTCTACAATTAACATTCTAGCTATAAATAGATTAGGGGAAACCCACCAAAATATTATATGTCTCTCTACGTATGTAGGATTTGAACTCCTCACGGGGATGTTTATGAAGAGTTCTATTCCTCTGCAATAAATTGTTGTAAAGACCGTTGAAATCGACTTTGCAAACGTGGCTTCCAGCGGGGTACACTGTGATTCAAATCAGAAAATACAAGTATTCAAAATATATGCTAATCACAGAACGTACGTCCGTGGTATTGAAGTGAGGTATAAACTGCTCTATTGATGGCAGACATTTTTCTCAATGGTGGATTCCTCTTCATAGGAAAATGTCTGCTACAATTGTAAAGAATGATTCTGTTATTAGATTGTATGCACAAGAATGTCCCCCTAAATTGCACTGTGATTTATTACAGGTGCTCTTCAATCAGAGAGCAGGCCTCGTGCCATACACACACTTAGATTACAGACATTGACAACCAAGTCATCCTGTTCTGTGTGCAACATTACAGTTATGACGTAAAGGGACACTAACACGGAATACAACTTATACACTTCTGGTAAGTAGACTTATATTTACTGCGTGGCTCTTAAAGCATCTCCATCAATGGAAATTTACGTGCATACACAGAGAAGCCCTGGGCAATATATTGAATACTATAACCACAACAACACGTTAGTACAGTAATAATTGTGAGAATTATTGTAACAATTCACCACGTCTGATCCTTTTATCTTATCTTAATCTTCTAATATTATAGTTCAGAATCCTGTTGCACTTGTCACTTAGCATCTATTATTCACAATCTTACGTGAAAGGCCACGTCCATAAAAAATTATGAAATTTAAGATTTTAAAAGTTTATTATTTCACTACAAGTTTCGGCCAATATGACCGTCATCAGGTGTTAAAATTTTTTGATGATGCAACTTCTCTCTTCTGATGTTAATATATATGCATGTCCCTTTGATGCGCTTGTGTGTCTGTAATATGTGTGAATTTTCTATTTGAATTCCTGTATGGGAAATTCTCTGTCTGTCGTGTTACTATTTATTTGTGGACTTACTGGAGCTGGCACAATAGATCACTGTAGGTCGCGGACCAAGGGCTGGTGCGTTATGTTCTTCCTTGTTGTGTGTTTTTGTGCATGAAGTTTTCCTGAGTTGGGCTGATTCTTTTTATAATAGGTTTCTGTCGCTATCTATTGTTTAAATCTTGTGTTCCGTATGAACATAAAATAACAAACATTAAATATTTAATTAACAGAGTGCATACATACCCAATAACAAATGAAGCAAAAACGAAGAACCAAATATTAAACAAGACACGTTATGTAAAAATGAATATAACATTAAGTTAAGCATAAGTCATTTAAAAACCACAGAACACAACAAAAAATGAGCAACTTTTACATACTACGAAAATAACTAAAAGAGATCACAATACGTTTTAAAGAAACAAATATAAAGATTGCATTCCGAAAAAAGGCACAAACCAATATCTATTAAAGCCTCGCCTGCGAATAAATGAGTACGAAAATTGGTATATACCAAGTGAGATATATGGATTTCCGACTCAAACAGGCCGAACAATCCAGACCATATAAAGAGAACACATAGAGGCAATAAGGCATAACAATGGCAACTCACGATATTCCAACCATATGTTAAACACAGGTCATGCAGGTGGGAGTACAACTGACACTATGAAAGTTGTAAAAATAGAGAAAAAATGAAATAATCTGAATACATTAGAGAAATGCCATATATAAAAAAACGAGTAAAGATGGATTAAAAATGAACGATACACACATCGACACCCATAATCTGATGTTCGAAGTAACACAAGAATAGACAACAGATAGCGACAAAAATACATCATAAAAAGAAGAACCAGTCCAACTAAGCAAAATATTTAGGAACAAGGCACGTAGAAAAACACACCAATACATTAACTCCAGTTAGTACACAAATAAGTAATTATAGAAAATTTCTAATACAGTAATTCTAATAGAAAATTCATACATATTACAGACACACAAGCCCATCGATGGGACTTGCATGTATATATTAACAACAGAGACAGCAGTTTCCTCATAAAAATGATGATGACCATATTGGCCGAAATACGTAGTGAACTTTGAAACTATTAAAGGGAATAAGTTTTGGGGGACGTGGTGTTGCACGTTACCCACTTTATCAGCGTCTCTCTCTATCTTCTTCATATGGTCCTACCTCTACTAAATTTTAATTTTCGTGTGTCATTAAAATAGAAATCACATCGTGTTCCATTAATTCAACAAATATATTAACACATTATTAATTGCTACGCTCAATTTTTTTACACCTAGGTCCTCTTTTTAGGAATCATGCAGTTGAATGAGCATCGTGAAATATCTATAAGAAGCATTCACCAACTGAAACAGAGATAAGGCATGCAAGATTAACATTGAATTTAAAAATTACACAGAACATACAGGTGGTCCGTTTGAAAGGTATCCAAAATGAAAAATTAATATTGCGGAAACTAATTGTCATACACGTATTCGGTTTATGTCATCGGAAAGGAAAACTCGGAATTTTTTTTTTCATACCCGGCTTACGCGCAAGCGCCGCCACATTTCTGTCACCTTGCTAGGAATCACCTGGACAGAGAGATGGCTGGGATATGAATTGGCAGAGGTGGAGCAATCGCTTGGCCTCCTAGGTCGCCAGATTTAACCCCACTAGATCTTTCTTGTGGGGTTATGTGAAGAACACTGTCTACCAGGTTAAGGTCAACGACCTGCAACACCTGAAAGCCCGCATAAGGGACGCTGTGGCTATGGTAACACCAGATATGCTGGATCGTCTGGATATTTGTCCTGCCACCAAGGGAGCCCACGATGAAATTTATTGAGAAAGTTATATACTCAGAAAAAACTTTGGTAGTTGCCTTTTGCAGTGGAGTAACCCATAAATGTGTATAATAAAAGATTTCTTTTACTATAATAATTATATGTAATATAATATAATAAATATATAATTATTTTATTTTGGATACCTTTCATCCGGACACTGTATATCTGAAGGTCCCGTACAAAATCGGTTAGACACTGCAGACTAGACATGAGGGTCGAAGGTTCTAGGGCGGGTTACCTACGGCGAACATCCCCAGGCACCAGCTCGATGGGAGGCTTGCGTAGTCCCAGAGACGAGATGGACAATGTGAAGAAAGGGAACATATCGGTCCCAGCCCACAATTGAACACAGAGCCCTCGAACCCTCAGCCTGTAGCCTTGGAATATACTGACTGAGCAATCCAAGTCCTTAAGAAGATATTTGTTTTCAAGTGGGAATTATTTCTTTCCCTTTGTCCTTATTATTTGAGTAATAATATTTACAAACAGTAAAAGTAACACACTACGTGTGAACTTCCCTTTCTTGCTCTGTAACAACTTTGCAGAAATGACAGAAACAGAACCCCCAAATTAAACCTGGTTTCTCAAAACAGCCCTCCATATCTAATAGGTTACGGCATTAGCATAGCTAACATAGAGGATTCGCTTAAAGAACTCACTTTCTGTTTAACGAGATAAGCTCAAATTGGTATTAAATATGCTTTTAGTTTTACAAAGCAACGTCCTGCTGCAAACATGGTCACCTACCGAAGAAAAAGTTAGAAGAGACATGTCAAAAAACACTCCGGCGTTCACACGCAACGGTCTCGAGGCCCTCATCATGGCCAGAGGCAGCAGACTCTTGTATCCCGGTGTCTGGCTGTACCAGTCGGTGCTATAGAACGCCAGCTGTACCTTCTCACTCTGAAAACAGTTGCAATATTAATTTATATTATATAAAATTATTATAAGTAAGATCCCAGGCAGACTGCAACAAAAAGTGGGGAATAGAATTAATTTAATTTATGAAGATTTCTGTATCCTGAGACATATCACCGTGTAATCCTTTGAATATCAACTGATATTTCGGATAAATATTTTGCTTCTATTTTCAGGGTAGTAGAATATGTGAAGCAGGAAACCTCATGAAGACCGTAGTAAGCAGAGCTGGCTTCTCCCTTGGTATATACTATGACCATGAAGATGCAGGCTACATGTTCCATCGAAAATTCGGTTGCCTTTCAACGAACTGCATGGAGATATATCGCAGAAGATACAAGTCATCGTAACGACCCTTTCAGAATCTGAAATTCAACACACTTCCACCTGCATAGTGACAGAGTGGTGCCAGGTGTTATGTGCGGACAGACAGAGAACTACATACAAATACTAGTAGTAGTAACTGCAGACGCAAACCTCGTCAATAACTTGTTGACCAAACCAGCTGTAACCCCCTATTACGACTAGGGATATGACAAAGAAACAGAAGAACTTCAAGAATTGTTGACGGTCGGCATAATTCTGTAACAGAGAAAAAATTCATTGCAATTTACAAATAAAGTACGTAAAAGCTACATGAGAAAAGACAGTGAGTGACAGAAACAAACGTATCGAAATTGGGGAAATGAGTTTCCAACTCTGCAAAAGTAGGAACCTTCCCTCTTCATAGGGTCCAGACCAGTTAAGAAGCTAACAATTTCCTACCCAGTGGGTGCAAGAGCACAGTAAATTAAGATCAAGGGGACTGAACACGCGGCCAAAAACTCCCCTCGATCTAGTGTTGAGGGGACATACACATGGCGCTGTATAATCAGCCCATTTTATGTCATCATGGAATCGTGTTTCTTTGGGTACAGGAAACAGTTTCCTTGAATATAATGCCTGTTTCCATCACATATCTCTTGCGGCGTACAGAACCAGAATTTGGTATACGCTCCGGACCAGTAGGACACCCCGGAAACAAACTAAGTTATGCCATTACACGAAGGCATTAAAATGCGGACTCGCTAATTCCTTCCTGAACCTATTGCTACTGGAACGATAGTACTGACGTCTTGGGAAGTGGCAAATAGACTCACTTCTTCAGACAGCTCCATGCTGACTATGGCCGCTATGCCACGTGTTCCTAAGGTATAAAGAGACACCACTACAGTACAGGCACTACTATGATGGTAAAGAAAGAAGTGAAGTTGTCCCGGTGCTTAGCTAATTAAGCACTAGGTCACAAAACATATGGGGGAGTGAGGTTATAACGCCTCCGCACTAAAGGAAGGTGAATTTTAAGCTTCACGTCACGGCTGCTTTATCCTGAGCGGGAAAAAGACGTAACCATTGGATAGAAAGCTGGTTAGTTCTCAGGGCCGGTTAAAAAGCTGTAGAATAAAGGAACATCTCTTGCCCCTACTGGGAATCGAACTACGGCCGTTCAGTTCGAAGTATGTTGACATACCGACTGATGTCTTCCGGCTTATTCAAGTATTAATACTGATACATCACATACAAATTACCTGTGTTATTCCAAATCCTGTCATACACAGGATAAGTGGGAAGTTTACTATCCTCATGAACGTAACTAAACTGACGATCTCGTTGAGATGGCTGACGAACCTGAAAGATATGAAAGGTTGTAGTGTTTGGTAACAGCGGATAAACAGCAAGGGCATTCATAATTTTCACTGCTCAAAAATATATCTAAATATTATACAACTTACAGAGTCAAAGATTATGGGATGGGAATATATGTAGCATGCACGGTACAGAGGAGAACTGCGTGACATATTTTGTTAGAATATTTCAATGAAAGCGGCCACGTCATGAACTTAGGCGTATAAAGGATGTTAATATTACAAAGGATATTAAACATTATAATTTGAAAAATGCGATTGTGGTTTATTTGCCAAAGAAAATTTTATATATTCTCTTGAAGACGCTGAAATCTTCGTTGTAAGAATCTTTACACAGAAATACAGCTACAGAAAACGTTACAACGCGGTTTTCAAAATGATGGTTAAATTCGAGAGTCATTCTCAGTCTTCTCAACTTAATTCGTTAATCGTAGTGAATTTCATGATGATTTTATCTTACTGATTGGTGGGAGGGGGGAGTGAAATATATTTTCTGTGTGTCTGAAGTGCAGATGTATTTTAAATCTGGAAGATCAATACTTACACAATTAGAGCTTGGTGATATTTGATGCATTTAACAAGGTACAGAAGGAATGGATCTTTGTTCACGTGACATTTTTCTTGGCGGGTCTCGGAGCTGGGGTTTCCACAATTTCCACTCCCTGATTCGAGACATGTGATATCATCTGCTGAAGTCACGGGGTCCTTCATACAATTGAAGTCTGCAATTTCTTGCAACGGGGACATTTGCTTTGTTCTGTTCAACTCAACTTCAGAGACATTCTCATGCATGTCATTCAGCATTGCACATAAAACCTTAAATTGAGCAGCTGCATGACTCATCAGTAACAAAAATATTACATCAACAGCAGCCATCATGAATAACCCAAAACTTATAAGAATCGCTTGCAAGACCATGATTATCTCAAACTGAGGGGAATCTTCAATTGCAAAAGGAAGCCATATCACGAACATCAGTCTATCCAAATTATTCCTTTCTGTAGTAAGAGTGTTGTTATCGAAATTCGAATTTGTGTTGTTACTTAGAAATGGGGCTGCGATCGAAAAAAGACCAAAACTTATAGCAATAGGGGCTGAATAGATACAAGATAATATAACTTGACGTTCTGCGAACTGAATACATTTGATATACTTAGAATTCATATTGGCCACAAATTCATTTCTCAACAAATCTATAAGCCTCATGAATTTATCTTTGTTGTGTAGGAAATAAACGCAGCCTAGGAGTGATAGAAGAAAGCCACTCATGTAACTCATTATTGTGGAAATCACAGTAATATTTCCCCAGTGGACATAAACTGCTATCAGCTGCCCTAACAATGATAATATATTTAACGTGAAAATGACTCTTATGAATATTTTGTACAAAAATCTTATGAACGGCGTTGCATTTTTGGGCGGAACAAGGCCAGACACGTGAAGCAGGAAATCCATAGTTATGATCTGTATTTTGTTCGCGGAAAACTCTTTATCATTCTTTAGTTTTTCTCTTGTTCCAGAGGTTTCCGTCTGTTTTTTCTTCGGTGGAACCATTTCTCTACAAAATCTGGAGAAATACCTGTTAACAAAAATATTTATTTATTTTATTTTAAAGTATACTAAAATTTGTCTAAATACGAATGGATTTTAACGAGTAATATATATCAAAATTTTGTTTTCAAAGATCAAAACTGGTTCTTATTCTCTAGAATAAATTCCAGAAAATGTTCCATAAGATACATTTTAATATTACTCCCTATCTGCTTCTACACCTTTCAAATATTCTCTCCGACTAGAATTGTGTGTGTATTTCTGACTCCCATTATAAAACATATCGCACATATTCGGTCACCAATGTTTTGTTCTGGCTAATGATGTTTAATAAATATTAATTAATCAAAACTCATTTTAAAATATCTATCCTACATTCTATTAAGTACTGTTGTACCTTATGTCCAAATATATTTCTCAGCGTTCACTCCCAGATTTCATTATTATTTTCCCCTTATGGTGACAGACCAAGATTCCAACCCACACAAAAAACAGATAATATGTAGATCTAAATATTAAAATCTTTACTTCAATGGACGGGTTCGGAGCCAGTAATACTGAATTTAATCTCATGTTAACTGACATAATTAAACAAGAAACACTAACAGCGAATATACCCATGACACGCAATACACGCAGATACGAATGTCGGTATGTTACCTTAGTGCTCTCCGTCTCTCTGTGAATGCGATATTTCTGTAGGCGGGCAGTGGAGTCACACAACTTGTCTCCTCTTCTCCCTTCAAAGGAGTGTCTTACATTCGCTGGGAGAATCATATTCGCTTCTTACGTAACCGCATCTCTGAAACTTTTTGACGTGAAAAGACAGAAGTCAGAATAAATGTTTCAGGCAGGAAGGAGCGCGCATAATTACTAACTTCTAAGACAATTTCTTTTTCACTTTGTCATGTACGTAGCATACATGAGGAAGTACTGTATATGGTAAAAAAGAAGATCGATCTCGAAATATTGACGGATTTACATGTTTCCGGAAGCCCTGAATAAGAGAAAGGGACGTTTCTGGAACGCGTCTACTTTTCTGTGCGCCTGAGGATATGCACCGCGCATGCGCCGAACGGTTGGAAGGAATTTATTCATATTCGGTACTGGAAAATGTGTAGGGTACATCATAGGGCTGTGTCCGAAACATGTGAATGAGCTAGCTCCAACGTTAAGTGCAATTAAAATGGGCCTCACACAACTAAATGATTATTTTCTTTGAAACATCTGTCAGGATGTTCATTACGTTTTTGGAGTTTACGTACGCATGAGAAATCTGGTCTTTAGAATTTAACGGAAGCGCACAGAACTTCTCCGTATGGTTTGAGGTTGTCACTGCGGTGGTTATGAAGAGTTTCGTCTTATGGGATATAATAACATGTAGGAAGAGGAAAGTCAACCGACGTTTTGGAGGAATATGCCGACTCCTTCTTTAGGATGAAATGAATACCAATCAAAAACCTAGTACGAAACATTTGGAAAGCATTGTGAATTTTCCGTATATGCTTGCGCTATTCATGAATTATATCAGATAGCTGATAAACATATGTAATCCGTTCGTGACAGGAATTACGTCATATTCTGAGTCTGTAACATATGTGAGTTTGCGTCATACTAAGTTACAAAAGTTTTAACATCTACTGATAACCAAACCCATCATACTGGTGATCTCGATGCATACACAGACACACAATCTGTGACGTACCCAAATATAAACTTGAAGAGCAGGATAAGCCAAGTCCCACATTCTGCATATAGCGGTATGCACACTCGCTCCATCTCTAAGGCCGAGACCTCTGCTCACATTAGGCCTATTTGTATCTCGTTGCTTCGCATAACACTTCACACTTTGGGCTCAGATCTGGGAACGTATCGGGGGGTTGGGGAATCTTGGTAGTGAGGAAATACCAAATTTGTGCTCTTTACGAAATATTACTACAGTAGTCAAATCAAGTAAAATTAGAATGAAAATTAAAAGGGGACCACTGCGATGACCAAGACATTGATGGGATACTGAAACTAACGTATGGTTTGTCAACTCCATTTTATGTTAAGAGGTTTACATTACTTCATTTGCTATTTTTCGAAAATCCTAGCACGCAGATTTCAGAGATCGAATGTTGGGATGAGTGACTTCTGATTAAGCGGAAAGGATTTGCAAGGAAATTGGTATAATACATCGTCATTTTTCCTAGGGGGACTGAAGAATATCACGAATATTATGTCGTGAGTCTTCTCAAATATCATTTGCGTCTCAGCATATTATAGCTCTATGAACAACAAAAGTTATGAAAATTTCGAGACAACCAACCCCAGTCACAATAAAGATAGACCAAAAACAACCGGAGAATGTGAAATGTTTTAAATATTTGGGTAGCTTGTTAACAGATGATGGAAGGTGTACTTGTGAAATTAAATCCAGGATTGCCATGGCAAAAGCTGCATTTAGCAAGAAGAAGAATCTTTTTACCAGCAAATTGGACTTAAATCTGAGGAAGAAACTAGTGAAATGCTACATTTGGAGCATAGCTCTGTATGGGGCTGAAACATGGACACTTAGGGCAGCACATCAGAAATATCTGGAAAGTTTCGAAATGTGGTGTTGGAGAAGATCAGTTGAACCAATTATGTGAGAAATGAAGTGTTAAGTAGAGTCAGTGAGCAGAGGAATATCCTACACGAAATAAGAAAACGGAAGGCTAATTTGATTGGTCAATTCGTCCAGTGATTGAGACTAGCTCTTTCTAACGGACCCAACGGAATAGGTGTTTTCCTTCATCTGAGGACGGAAACAGACCCAGTTTCCGTTGTGTTTTTGTTAGTTATCTTAAAAACCAGGACGATGGATGAAGTCCAAAAACCCAATATATCAGTGTAATTGGATTGGTCATGTTTTACGCAGAAACTGCCTTCTAAAAGAAGTTATTGAAGGAAAGATAGAGGGGCGGATAGAAGTGACAAGAAGACGAGGAAGAAGACGTAAGAAGATGCTGGATGACCTTGGGGACAGAAGAGGATACTGTCATTTGAAGGAGAAAGCTCTAGATAGCATTAAGTGGAGGAATTGTTTTGGAAGAGACTGTGGACCTGTCGTCTGACAGATTACTGAAGATGATGATGATGAACAACATAAATTTTCTCATGAAATTTAGAGAAAAAATTGTGTCATCTCAAAAATTCCTTTAAGTGAAGTTCTGATAGATACATCTAAAATCTCAAAACTCCAGTCCGTGTCTGTCTGTCCAACCCACCTTGTTTCTCAAAGGAGAATTGTAAGTGAAACTGTATACACGAATTTTTCCTCTTGCAGAGGAGACCGAATGGAAAATAGCAAAATTTCCTCTGTTCAGAAATGAGGTACAGGGTTGCCCCCCCCAAAAAAAACACACACACATCAGATAGATGGACCATCGAAAAGGTTCGTTGTAGATATAGGTAGTAAATACACGGTCCTGTGATATCGGAGGCCAAACTTTAAAAAAAGTGCGCATGTCTTCTGTTTCGATAGTTACAGATTTCCCAACAGCAGCAGAACACGCACTTTCAAGCGAGTCTAGGTTTTTATTTACATCATGAAATATTAATTTTGGTTTCTATTGGATGACACACTATTCTCCAAGCCGGAAGGTCGAGGGATCGAATCCCGATGAGGTCATTGGAATTTTCAGTTGACCTAATCCTTTTGGCCGCATTGAGGTCCTTGTGTCGACATAGCCTCTAACATAAATGAGTACTAGGAATTTTTCTTGGGGATAAAGGGCAGCAGCCGCGTAAGGCTGACAACCTCACGGCCACATGTGAGCCGATTGTCTAGAAAATGTGGGAGCCTAGACCTCTCATACACCTATGGTCCTTCAGGGACCTTTACAGGGACAGCTTTACCTTTTTAGCGGTCACAAACAGTTTACTACACTTGTATATGTGTGAGAATTAGAGACAATTGGTGGATTTCAAAGCGAGAACACAATTTCATTTATTGGCCTCCAGAACAAGAATTACTCTCGAGGTCAAAAGAAGCATCTTGTCAAGGTCGCAACAATTGTGTATGCAGGTCAAACAGACTAGAGACAAATGCAAGTGGCACATCACACAAAAGCACAATTTGTTATAGAAATTGCATTATAGATGTTTCTGCAGATCTGTACCACTTACAAATTACATTCGGCCTCCTTCCAAATGCATTACTGCACGTGTACTGTGCTTCAGTCACTGTCCTCGGTTTCTTGTTTTTCAACAGACTTGTCATATACATAGCAAGCTGCAGATGAAATTAGAGAGACCAACGGTCCACGCAGTGAGCAAGATTAATTGCTTCCCGCCTAAATCTGTAATAGTTAAGTTAGGCACCCCGGCGGAAATCTCGCAACAAACCCCATGGAACAGTCCGGCGTTCGACCCTCCTCAAGTAAACTTTGCCGTAATAAGTATTTTTATCTTTATTTTTTGTATTACTAATGGGGTGGGATTAAGTCCCTTGTACTGCGGCCACTTCTGGCCTATTGTACCAGCCCCAGATGATAGGTGAAGGTGAATGTGAAATGAATATTGGCAGGGGAAACCGAAGTACTCGGAGAAAACCTGCCCAAGCGCCACGATGTTCACCACAAATCCCACTTAACCAGACCGGGGATCGACCCCGAGCCGCCGCGATGGGAAGCCAGTGACTAACCGCTTCAGCTATGTGGTGGCCATGCCGTAATAAGTAAGTGGGTTTACTCCGTGTGCACCAAAGTCGGAGTGTGATGCGTTTAGAAATGCGACCTAGGCTAAACAGAGATGAGGACGGACACCATCTTACCATACTGTAGAACAATATGCAAATGGCGTAAATGAATAATAACTTGCGTATTTCAGAAGCCCGTCCCGAAGAAATGGTAATCCATCTGGTGGCAGAAGATGATATGGTGTTATGTCTGTTGGAAGCCAGAATTCTGAAGCCAAGAGAAACAGTCGTGGCTAGGAAACGGCTCTGCAAACACGCTCGTTGCTAGGCAATGGCACGGGAAAAGTCACGGGACACGTCATGGGAAATGTCATACAAGGGTCTCAAAAGGTATGCACACAAAAATAAAGTGTTTTCTATGCGATTCGCGCTGAGGGTACATGATAAGTTAATTCTGAATCAAGTCCTCTGGGTAAAAACAAAATTACCGAGGGTAACACCAATTACACGAACAGACGGGGATGTCATTAATGAAAATACAGTTCAAGAGGTTAGCGAGGACGTTGTATCGGAATTCTGTAACCTGCGGAAACAGCCAAGTTCAGGCACTAGGACACTACGATCGCGCCGGTGACAAACATCTGCGTCCCTTATCCCTGTCTGCACGATAATCCGCTCTGAGATCTCTTTACAAGTAACCGGATGATTAAAAGTCTCCCAAAACGCCGAGTATGCCCACGGCCACATCTGCAAATCATCATCTATGCTGCACAATATGATGGAAAGAAGATGAGTTTAAATAAGGACTGTAATAACAAATCCCCTCCAGCACAAATCCCATATGGAGGGGGAGCCGAATACCTCCACTGTAGCCCTGCGAGTCGAAAGAGTTGCCAAAATTGGAAGTCTCGAATCTGAGTAACTGTTATTGACACCGATAAACTTATTAGTAAAGTACAGATTTCTAGATTTGCATTTATCGTAATGAGGCTACAACAAACTCCGGGCGACTTCGTAGTACCTAGAATAGGCCACGACCTTCAAGTGCTTTCCACGTCATCGGTCAACCCTTTTTTTCCTTGGCACTACAGCCCCAGTGGGCCTAGGTCTACCTCCATGAACTTCTCCGTTCACTTCGGTTTTTCTAGATCTTACACATTCGGTAGGACACATTGGGCGGGTGATCAGCTCGTCACAAGGCCTCTATCTGTACACAAACACAGAAAAACGCACACACATAAACTAAACATCCATGCCCTGAGTGGGATTCGAACCCACGATCCCGGTTTCCAAGCAAGCGAAGTTAGTACATGCCTTAGACCGCTCGGCTACCGTGACCGGCCCATCGGTCAACTTACCATTCTATAATATACGTACACTCTAGCTAGAAGGAGAGTCCAGAATGAACCAACACAATTATATGTATGCCAACGTATATTGGATTTTAACTTCTCACAGCGATGTTTATGAACAGTGCAAAACGTATATCACTGTAAAAGATGGTAAAAGCCAACATTACAAAGATGATTTTCACAGAGTACACGGTTTTACAAATCAACTGAGAGAACTATTCAAATTATATGTTAATCACAAAATAGAGGTCTGCGACATTGAAGTCAGGCATAAACTTATATATTGATATCAGACATTTTTCTCAATCATGGTTTCCTCTCCACAGGAAAATGTGTGCTACAGTTGCACAGAACTGATTCTATTAATAGAAAGTGTCCCCCTAAATTGAACTGTGATTTATTGCAAGTGCTCTCCAATCAGAGAGCAGGCCTCGTGCCATACACACACTTAGATTACAGACATTGACAACCAAGTCATCCTGTTCAGTGTACAACATTACAGCTATGGCGTAAAGGAACACTAACACGGAGTGTAATTAATACACTTCTGCTAACGGCTTATATTCATTCCGTGGCTCTTAAAGTACTTTTTTATCTACTAAATTTTACGTGCTTACAAAGAGAATTTCAGGACACAGTATGGAATATTACAAACATCTACAACAAAATCGTTGAAATTTTCACCACGTCTGTCCCATTTTACCTTACTCATCCTCTATTTTATCTTCTTCTTTTTCTTTTCTCCTTATTTCATATCCTTATTCTCTTTCTAACTCGCATTTCTTGTTCTCTTAATCTCATATCCCCTTCCTATTTATTCTTTTATATTCGTGCATCTTGAGAACAGAAAGTAAATCCTATTTTATTAAAATATCAAATATATAAATACATTATTACATTTGTATTAGAATTGTATTTCAATTAGAAAATTTCTATTCCAAATAGAACACCGGACATAAGTGAACAAATTTCAGAAATATCTAAAAGCATCAATTGCAGAATCTGAAGACTACACTATATGAAAGCGTGATATACACGTACTTGGTTTTCTATTCACTTTAACGTATGGCAGTTGTTGTGGTCAAATATCAATAAAAGTACTTTAAGTGTATATTTTTGAGTGTCCAAAGAAAGGTCATTTGATGAGGGAATGCTGCTCAACAGAGAACGTGTCCTGAAGTTGACAAAAGTGACTGGTGTGCATAGTAGTACCTACAGACGTCTAATACATCTAACATGAACAACAAAAAATTCTTTTGAAAATCCACTCCACATATTTCTGTATTGACGTAGGAAATAAAATATATAATCCCACTTCTTCAAGTTGTGTTGCTGCTCATACGGTCATACTGCAATTGCTACGGTCAGCTTCTTCTTTATACTCAGAGCATCTTCTTTAGGAATCATTCAGCTGAATGAGCATCGTGAAAAATCTATAAGAAGTGTTCACCAACTGAAACAGAGAACAGGAATTTAGTTTGAAGATTACACAGAAGTTGTATCTGAAGGTCCCGTACAACATCGGTTAGACACTTCAGGCTAGAGACGAGGGTTTCTCAGGCGATTTAATTACGGCGAAATTTCCCCAGGTACCAGTTCGATGGGCGGCTTCCCTAGTCCCAGAGATGAGATGGACAATGTGAAGAAGGGGAACAAACCGGTCCCAGTACAAAATGGAAGCCAGAGCCCTCTAACCCATAGCCTGTAGCATAGGAATACGAGTATACTGACTGAGCTATCCAAGTCCTTAAGAGGATATTTGCTTTCAAAAGGGGAATTTTTATTTCTTTCCTTCTCTCTTTCATTCTCTAAGTTACGTTTACAAATTTAAAAACAAACACACTAAGTTTGAACTACACTATCTTGCGTTGTAATCGCTTTGCAGATGTGACAGAAATCGAGCCCCATTAGCCCTGGATGTCTGAAAAATTAAGTTGTAAACATCCCCATCATCAGGGATTTTATTAAAGCACTCACTCCCTATTTAATGAGTTATAGATCAAGTTGGTATTAAATATCTTTTTAGTGTAACAAAGCAAAATTCTGCTGTAAAAAATGCCACCTACCGAAGCCAGAGTTACGAAAGACAAGTCAAAGAAAACTCCAGCATTCAAGGTCACCGGTCTTGAGGCCCTCATGATCGCCAGAGGCAGCAGACTTTTGTCTCCCGGTGTCTGGCTGTACCAGTCAGTGCTATAGAACGCCAGCTGTACCTTCTCACTCTGAAAACATTTGTAATATTAATTTATATTATATAAAATTATTGTAAGTCAGATTCCAGGCAGACTGCAACACACTTTGAGGAATGGAATTAATTTAATTTACGAAGAGCTCTATATCATGGAATATATCACAGTGTAATCCGTTGAATATCAACTGATATTTCAGATGAATATTTTGCTTCCATTTTCAGGGCCCTAGCATACATGAAGCAAGAAACTGTATGAAGACCGTAGCAAACGCAGCTGCTTTCTTCCTTGATATATTCTTCGACCCTGAAGATGCAGGCAATATGTTCCACAGAAACTTCCGTTCCCCTTCAACGAAATGCATTGCGTAATTTCGCACAAGATACAGCTCATAATAACCACCGGTGTGAAAGTTTCAATTCCTATATAATGAAGTCAATCATAAGTAATGGCGCAAGCAACATTTTCCTAGAGTATTCTTCTACGTAATTTGAGGCAGTAGAGTCCGGTAGAAGTCTACCGACGCTTGAGACGACCGTACTGCTGGTATCTTCAAGGTGGATGACGTGCTAACCCACCAATGGGGCAGAAGTAAGCAAACTCCCGCTCCTGTGCTCCTGCCATATTGCTGATTGCCTCCTTTGCTCTTCGACCTTGAATCTGAATGAGGATTGTGGCGCCTACTCGTCGCTTACCTTCTCTTCTGAGTCATACTTTAGTCTCTTCATAGTCACTCCTTTTAGAATCTGAAAATCTACACACATCCAACTGCATGCTGACAGAGTATAATTGCCAGGCGTTAGGTGCGGGACAGATTGAGAACTGTATACGTGTAAGTGTAAATTTAGACCCGAACCTCGTCAATTACTTGTTGGCCAAACCAGCAATAACTCCCTATTAAGTACAGAGATGCAACGAAGAAAGAGGCGAACTTCAAGAGTTGTTCATGGTTGGCAAGATTCTGTAACAGAGAAACAATTTCATTGCGAGATACAAGTAAATTATTTAAGTCTCCTTAAACCGCTAATAAGTAACAAGGACACGAGAGAAGTTAGTCAGTGACTAAGGCAAACGTACCGAAATCGGGGAAAGGGGTTCCGAATCTCAGTAAAAACCGGAGCCTTCTCTTCTTCGGAGTTCCCAGACCGGTTCCGGAGCCCACACTTTCTATGCAGTCGGTGCAAGGGCCCATTGCCTTAAGATCAAGCTGTCTGAACACGCAACTGATCTCTAACCTTGATCCACTGCCGAGGAAAAATATGCATGGCCGGCCGCAAGGCTGTAGAATAACAGAATTTCTCTTGCCTCTGCCAGGAATTGAGCTCCGGCGATTGAGTCACTAACACTGAGCTATCCCGGATCATTTAAGTATTATTACTGATATGTTATATAGAAATTACCTGTGTCATTCCAAATCCTGTCATACACAAGATGAGTGGGAAGTTTGCTATCCTCAGGAACATACTAAAACTCAGGATCTCGTTGAGATCACCGACGAACCTGCAAGATATGGATATCGTTACAGTTACACGTAGCAGCACATGAGACAAGGACTTTCATAATTCTTATTGCTGAAATATATATCAAAATATCATACGACTTATACAATCAAAGAATATGGGATGGGAAGATATGTAGCATGCACGGTAGAGAGAACAATTGCGTAACACTCTTTGTCAGAATAATTCAATGAAAATGGTCACTTCAAGAACCTAGGCGTACACAGGAGGATAATATTAGAAAGGATATTCAATTTGAGAGTATAACAAATGTGACCATACTTTAATTGCGGCAGAAAAAGTTATATATTCTTTTGAAGACGCTTTAATCATCAGGGTAAAATTCTGTAAAACAGCTCTGCGGCGTGAATAATTGTTATAGCATGGCATTGAAACATATGGTTAAATACGGAAGTCGTTCGCAATTTCCGCATTTTTAAACCCTTAATCCTATGAACTTTATGGTAGTACGAACCCTCAGAATGGGGTTGAGGAACTGGGTGAAATACATCATATATATATATATATATATATATATATATATATATATATATGTGTGTGTGTGTGTGTGTGTGTGTGTTTCGATTGCAGGTGTATGTTTAAATCTGGAAGACTATAACTTACTCAATTACAGCTTGGTGATATTTGATGCATTTAACAAGGTACAGTCGGAATGCATCTCTGTTCACGTGACATTTTTCTTGGCGGGTCTCGGAGCTGGGGCTTCCACAATTTCCACTCCCTGATTCGTGACACGAGATATTATCTGCTGAAGTCACGGGGTCACTCATAAGATTGAAGTTTGCAATATTTTGCAGAGGAGACTTGTGCTTTGATCTGTTCCACTCAACTTGAGAGATATTCTCGTGCATGTCATTCAGCATTGCACATAAAACCTTGAATTGAGCAGCTGCATGGCTCATCAGTAACAAAAATATTACATCAACAGCAGTCAGCATTAATAGAGAAAAACATATAACAAACACTTGCAAAACCATGATTATCTCAAACTGAGGGGAATCTTCAATTGCAAAAGGAAGCCATATCACGAACATCAGTCTATCCAAATTATTCCTTTCTGTAGTAAGAGTGTTGTTATCGAAATTCGAAATGGTGTTGTTACTTAGAAATGGCGTTGCGATAGAAATAGTAGCTAAAGTTACAGCTACAGGGGTTGCGAAGATACAACATAATGCAACTTGACGTTCAGCGATGTGAATAAATTTGATATACTTTGAGTTCATATTTTCCACAAATTCATTTCTCAACAAATCTATAAGAGTCATGAATTTATCTTTGTTGTGTAGGAAATATACGGAGACAAGGACTGATACAAGAAGGCCACTCATGTAACTCATTACTGTGGAAATCACAGGAATGTTTCCCCAGTGGACATAAACTGCTATCAGTTGCCCCAACAAAGCATAAGTATACAGTGCAAAAATGCATATTAGGAACATTCTGTTAAAAAATCTTATGAACGGCGCTGCACTGTTGGGCGGAAGGAGGCCAGCTACATAAAGCATGAAACCCAATGTCATAACCTGTACTTTGTTCACAGAAATTTTGTCTTCTTTATTCAAGTTTTCTCTTGTTTCAGAAGTCTCAATCTCTTTTGTCTTCGGTGTGACCATTTCTCTGCAAAATCTTCAGCAACACCTGTTAACAGAAATAATTTAATGTTGTTTGATAATTATTTCTTATTTTACAGTATACTAAAAATTCTCTAACTATGAATGGAATTTAACAAGTAAGATACATCAAAATGTTGTTTCAAATGATCAGAACTAGTTCTCATCCCCTACGAGAAATTCAAGAAAAAAAAATCTAAAAGATACATTTTAATATTACTCCCTCATATACGTCTACATCTTGCAAATATTCTTTCCGACCAGAATTGTGCGAGTGTTTCTCTCTCTCATTAATGAAGACATCAGATATGTTCGGTTTTCCATGTTTCCTCAGGGTAACAATATATAATAAAAGTAAAAAAGTTAATTAATCTGGACACACAAAGAACCAGGTTGTCCTATTTTCTCTTACTTTCTATTACACATCATAGCCAAATATATTCCTCAGGGTCCTGTCCCCATATAACACTATTCTGTGGTTTCCTTTAAGGCGACATGCCACGTTTCCCACCCATATAAAAACACAAATTGTAGGTCTAAATATTATAATCTTTATGTCAATACTCGGATTCTGAGAAAGAATTCCTTAATTTGATCTCATGTTAACTGACATAATTAAACAAGAAACACTAACAGCGAATATACCCATGACACGCAATACACGCAGATACGAATGTCAGTATGTTACCTTAGTGCTCTCCGTCTCTCTGTGAATGCGATATTTCTGTAGGCGGGCAGTGGAGTCACACAACTTGTCTCCTCTTCTCCCTTCAAAGGAGTGTCTTACATTCGCTGGGAGAATCATATTCGCTTCTTACGTAACCGCATCTCTGAAACTTTTGACGTCAAAAACAGAAGTGTGAATAAATGTTTCAGACAGGAAGGAGCGCGCATAATTACTGAGTTCTAAGACAATTTCTTTTTCACTTTGTCATGTACGTAGCATACATGAGGAAGCACTGTATATGGTAAAAAAGAAGATCGATCCCGAAATATTGACGGATTTACATGTTTCCGGAAGCCCTGAATAAAAGAAAGGGGCGTTTCTGGAACCCGTCCACCTCTCTGTGTGCCTGTGGATATGCACCGCGCATGAGCAGAAGGCCTGGAAGGTATTTATTCATATTCGGTACTGGAAAATGTGTACGTCATAGGGCGGTGTCCGAACCATGTGAATGAGCTAGCAATTAAAATTGGCCTCACACAACTAAATGTACCTCAGGACATTTATTACGTTTCGGAAATTTATGTAAGCGTGAGAAATGTGGTTTTTCGAATTTAACCGAAGCGCATAGAAGTAACCCGAATGACTTGAAGTCATTTAACCGGCATTTCGGGTGAATATGCCGTTTCATTCTCTAGGATGAAATGTACACCAATCGAAATGTCAACATGAAAGAATATTCGGAAAGCGCTTTATTCTTGCAATAGTTACGAATTATTTCAGATATATACAATTTTTTCTTGACAGCAGTTACGTCACATTCTCAGTATACAACATTTTAAAGTTTGCGTCATCATCAGATCATCATATCTGCTTAAGATATGAACATAAAGTTACGTCATATTCTGGGTCTGTAACATATCTGAGTTTGCGTCATAATCAGACAGTTACTAAATTACTAAAATTTTAGCACCTGGTGATAACCAAACCCACCATACCAGTAATCTCGTTGTACACAAAGGACATTATTTCCACCCAGTTAGATACACACTCTGTGACGTACCCAAATATGAACTTGAAGAGCAGGATAAGCCAAGTCCCACATTCTGCATATAGCGGTATGCACACTCGCTCCATCTCTGAGACCGAGACCTCTGCTCGCATTAGGCCTATCTGTATCTTGTTGCTTCGCATAACACTTCATACTTTGGGCTTAGATCTGGGGTTCGGGAATCTTGGTAGTGAGGAAATATAAAATTTATGCTCTTGACAAAATATTAGTTACTATAGTTATATCCAGTAAAATTATGATTTATGACTGTATATAATGCGAGCAAGAAGGAAGAGACAACTTGGATGTCAAAGACGTAGATGGGATACTAAAACTAAGTTGAGTTAAGAAGTTTTCACTATTTCATTTACTACTTTTCTATATTCCCAGCATATAGAATTCAAAAATACAATGTTAGGACATGAGAAGTAGGATGAACCGGGTAAATCTGAAAGGAAACTACGGTAATACATCGGCATTTGCCTGGAAACTGAAGAATATCACGAATATTATTATTAAAAAGCCCGGTGTCTCAGTTTATATTCTATCCGAGTACTTTCTAGATGCAAATGTGCAGTTTTACCGTTATGGCCAGTTCTTATTATATGGATATCGGTAATAATCCACCAAGCTAGACGGCGTCACATCTCAATAATTTTCATAGTAAACCCTGTGAGAATCTGTCACGCAATATTTAGAAAACTGAGGCAGAATCTTTCACCGAAACATTGTTAATCATGCACAAAAGGGCACGGTGTCACAAACCCAGTAAACCAAAATTCAGACATGTTTTATATTTTCTTAAAAAATATCTGCAGGCCAGCATATTTCTAAGCAACTCCAGAATCAACAGACTAGAGACAAATGCAAGTGGCACAAAAGCACAATTTGTTATAGAAATTGCATTATAGATTTTCTGCAGATATGTACTGAGGAATGAATTGAAAAGAGCCACGGACAGGGCCAAAAAGGAATATCTTGAGAAGATGTGTAATGAGATTATAGAATTTCAAAGAACAGGACGTTATGATTTGATGTACATGAAGACAAAAGAACTAGGATGGAAAGAGAATCATGGGATTCAAAATATTGGCATCGAAGACTCCCAGGGGAATAGAATAGTACATCAGAGGCAAGTGCTGAAAATTTGGGAAAATTATATTACAGAACTATATGATTGACCTAATCGGCCAGAATCCTTAGAAGTCGAAACGGAAGATGAAGAAGATACAGACGAGAAAGGACCATATATTTTACAAAGTGAGGNATTAGAAGAGGAAAAGGAACCACGGATGCAATTGGGATGATTAGAATTATAGCAGAACGAACTTTGGAGATAGATGAAGAACTGTGTGTTTGCTTCACAGACTGGCAGAAGGAATTTGACCGTGTAAACTGGACCAAATTAATGCAGACCCTAAAGGAAACAGGTATCGATTGGCGTGAAAGAAGATTGATTAGCAAATTGTACATGGATCAGAAAGTCAGAGTACGACTGGACAGAGGGGAGACAAGAAGTGTGCAGATTGGAAGCGAAGTTCGACAAGGATGCTGTTTATCACCAATTCTCTTCAACTTGTACAGCGAATGCCTTACCAAGGAAGCCCTGGATGGACTCAAAGACTTCAAATTAGGAGGTCAAATTATTCAAACTGTGAAATATGCAATGACCTTGTGTTAATGGCTAAGGACGAAACTGTGCTACAGGGCATGATTGATAGACTAATTGAAATTTCCATGCTATGGCATGGAAATGAATGTGGGAAAAAACACAAGTAATGAA